CTTGTTTTGTATTTGCTATTCACCCCTGAACCTTTGTTATTTCTGCCATATCCTTTTAACAGGAGTTGACCAAAACATAACACAGCACTTGAGATAGAGCACACTAGAAACTAATAGCCTGGCAGCCTAATCAATCTGCCTGTTTGGGGACCTGAAGTGGGTATTTCTGGGAAGTTTGACTCATACCGTTAAAAAACGCTTAGAGTCAAGCGTACTGAAAACCATTCACCTATCTAAATGGCAGGAAAATACATCTGTCAACTTTCTGCATGTAGTAAAGAGACATTTCTGAACAATACAGTCACGTTTGCTGTGAAAATAAGCAAATACAATCGCTCCCTAGTGGTGGGCAAAGTACAACCAAGGCCTGACCTGGCTTTTTTTGAGGGGGACTTCTGTTCCCATAATTTTACATCTAATCCCAGTTGTACAGGTTTTATTCCAGAAGTACAGAGTGTTCACACATGCTCCTAAAACAGAGAGCTTTCCAAAAAAACAAATCCAAGTATTAAAGCTTATAAAACACAAGCAGAGGGCCAGAAGGCCATCAGAACACACACTCTTCTATCCACGCACAAACACTGCCACAGGAAATTCTCTATGCACAAATTGCTTTCCACAACTGTACTTTAAAAATAAAATCTAACCAAAAGTTTCAAATGGCCAATTTAAGCAACCTAATACAAAGAGCTCCCCACACAGACTGGTTGGAAAATTCAGAGTGAAGCTGCAGATATAGGCAAGTATAACCAATGCTCAAGGTAACCGAACCAGAAAGCTCTAATCTCTGTGGGACAACTCACCTTTCTCTTTGCTGCATATTTTAACTGCACATTATGGCGAATTTTCTCAAGACGTTCTTCTCGCTTTTTTCTCCTGATTTGCTCTTCCTAAAATAAAAGGAGAGTGAAGGAAGGTATTTAGTCCTAAACCCTGGGTATAATCACTTTCCTATGCCCTGGTGTCATGGTTTAACACTAACGGAAAAGGAAAATAACAATAATAATAATGACAGAAGTCATTCTCACTGTCTGGTGAATTGGCACCATCCCGAGCAGTGATCACTGATCCCTCCCCTAGCCAACCCCCATTTATATACTGAGCATGATATCTATGGTACAGAATATTCCATTCTGTTGTTCTGTCTATATTCCTTCTCAGCTCCTACTGGAAGCTGAAAAGAGTCCTTGAAAAACATAACATAGCTTAGCAGCAATTAAAACAAGATGCATTACTGACATTCCTTTCATAGCAATCACTAGAAAGAAAATTAGCTCTTTGCCAGCTGAAACCAGGACACTTGGGTATAGAAAAAAAAAATTAACTCTAAACACAGTTGTCAGTCTACAGTCCCTTTCTCCTGAAGTGCATGCCTATTCACAGAATCAAGGAATTGTCAGAGTTGGAAGGGACCTCTAGATTATAATGTTACTATGTTCAGAGTAATATAGTTTCTTGTCTTATGCAACCTGCAGGGCAATGCCTCATCCCTCATAAGTGAGACAAAGTCCCATGAAAGACAAAGACCACCACCAAAGTTTGCCTCACGTGTTTTTCCACTCACCACCACAGATACCAGCCTTTCTGATCCTCACACCTCCTTATTTTTCCCACCCTCCACATACGAGCATTTCCCAACCTTCAGCCTGTCCACCATGTCCCTCTCTTCCTTCTTCTGCACAAATGCCGTAACCCAGTCCGGTTCCCCAGCTGCGTCCTTGCTCCCGGGGTGTCCCAGCTCGGCTGAAGGCAGCTTCTTCTTCCCCTCCTGCTCATCCTCCTCCAGTGCCAGAAGTCGTGCCTCCTCTTGCTGCTTCTTCTCCTCAAAGTCCCGGAGCCAGGCGAGGGCTCCACAGATGAGGCTCAGTGACTTTCCCTGACGGAGAGAACAGACAAGGTGAGGATCCCCAGATGTCACGGATTCACGGATTTGACAGGGTTGGAAGGGACCTCTAGAGATCATCTAGTCCAACCCCCCTGCTAAAGCAGGGTTGCCCAGAGCTCATCACTCAGGGCTGCATCCAGGCAGGGCTTGAAGATCTCCAGAGGAGACTCCACACCCTCCCCGGGCAGCCTATTCCAGGGCTCTGTCACCCTCACCATAAAGAAGTTCCTCCTCATATTTGAGTGGAACTTCCCACGTTCCAGCTTGTGACCATTGCCCCTCCACGGGGGCCACCCACCAGCCTGGTGACACCCACCAGCCCCGGGCCGAGGCCTGGTCCCCTTCCCCACCCTCCCTCCCCACACAGCGGCCTCCTCCCGCCCGGCGCCTCCCCGCCCTCCCGCCGCGCCGGCCTCACCGTGCCCGTGGGGCTCTCGAAGATCCCGACGCGGCCGGCCTCCAGCGCGCCGTACAGCGCCTCCATGAACCGCTCCTGGATGAGGCCTATCTAAATGGCAGGAAAATACATCTGTCAACTTTCTGCATGTAGTAAAGAGACATTTCTGAACAATACAGTCACGTTTGCTGTGAAAATAAGCAAATACAATCGCTCCCTAGTGGTGGGCAAAGTACAACCAAGGCCTGACCTGGCTTTTTTTGAGGGGGACTTCTGTTCCCATAATTTTACATCTAATCCCAGTTGTACAGGTTTTATTCCAGAAGTACAGAGTGTTCACACATGCTCCTAAAACAGAGAGCTTTCCAAAAAAACAAATCCAAGTATTAAAGCTTATAAAACACAAGCAGAGGGCCAGAAGGCCATCAGAACACACACTCTTCTATCCACGCACAAACACTGCCACAGGAAATTCTCTATGCACAAATTGCTTTCCACAACTGTACTTTAAAAATAAAATCTAACCAAAAGTTTCAAATGGCCAATTTAAGCAACCTAATACAAAGAGCTCCCCACACAGACTGGTTGGAAAATTCAGAGTGAAGCTGCAGATATAGGCAAGTATAACCAATGCTCAAGGTAACCGAACCAGAAAGCTCTAATCTCTGTGGGACAACTCACCTTTCTCTTTGCTGCATATTTTAACTGCACATTATGGCGAATTTTCTCAAGACGTTCTTCTCGCTTTTTTCTCCTGATTTGCTCTTCCTAAAATAAAAGGAGAGTGAAGGAAGGTATTTAGTCCTAAACCCTGGGTATAATCACTTTCCTATGCCCTGGTGTCATGGTTTAACACTAACGGAAAAGGAAAATAACAATAATAATAATGACAGAAGTCATTCTCACTGTCTGGTGAATTGGCACCATCCCGAGCAGTGATCACTGATCCCTCCCCTAGCCAACCCCCATTTATATACTGAGCATGATATCTATGGTACAGAATATTCCATTCTGTTGTTCTGTCTATATTCCTTCTCAGCTCCTACTGGAAGCTGAAAAGAGTCCTTGAAAAACATAACATAGCTTAGCAGCAATTAAAACAAGATGCATTACTGACATTCCTTTCATAGCAATCACTAGAAAGAAAATTAGCTCTTTGCCAGCTGAAACCAGGACACTTGGGTATAGAAAAAAAAAATTAACTCTAAACACAGTTGTCAGTCTACAGTCCCTTTCTCCTGAAGTGCATGCCTATTCACAGAATCAAGGAATTGTCAGAGTTGGAAGGGACCTCTAGATTATAATGTTACTATGTTCAGAGTAATATAGTTTCTTGTCTTATGCAACCTGCAGGGCAATGCCTCATCCCTCATAAGTGAGACAAAGTCCCATGAAAGACAAAGACCACCACCAAAGTTTGCCTCACGTGTTTTTCCACTCACCACCACAGATACCAGCCTTTCTGATCCTCACACCTCCTTATTTTTCCCACCCTCCACATACGAGCATTTCCCAACCTTCAGCCTGTCCACCATGTCCCTCTCTTCCTTCTTCTGCACAAATGCCGTAACCCAGTCCGGTTCCCCAGCTGCGTCCTTGCTCCCGGGGTGTCCCAGCTCGGCTGAAGGCAGCTTCTTCTTCCCCTCCTGCTCATCCTCCTCCAGTGCCAGAAGTCGTGCCTCCTCTTGCTGCTTCTTCTCCTCAAAGTCCCGGAGCCAGGCGAGGGCTCCACAGATGAGGCTCAGTGACTTTCCCTGACGGAGAGAACAGACAAGGTGAGGATCCCCAGATGTCACGGATTCACGGATTTGACAGGGTTGGAAGGGACCTCTAGAGATCATCTAGTCCAACCCCCCTGCTAAAGCAGGGTTGCCCAGAGCTCATCACTCAGGGCTGCATCCAGGCAGGGCTTGAAGATCTCCAGAGGAGACTCCACACCCTCCCCGGGCAGCCTATTCCAGGGCTCTGTCACCCTCACCATAAAGAAGTTCCTCCTCATATTTGAGTGGAACTTCCCACGTTCCAGCTTGTGACCATTGCCCCTCCACGGGGGCCACCCACCAGCCTGGTGACACCCACCAGCCCCGGGCCGAGGCCTGGTCCCCTTCCCCACCCTCCCTCCCCACACAGCGGCCTCCTCCCGCCCGGCGCCTCCCCGCCCTCCCGCCGCGCCGGCCTCACCGTGCCCGTGGGGCTCTCGAAGATCCCGACGCGGCCGGCCTCCAGCGCGCCGTACAGCGCCTCCATGAACCGCTCCTGGATGAGGTAGGGCGTGTAGGGGAACGGGAACCGGCCGCCCCCGGGGCTCTCCATCCCGCACCGCCGCCGCCGACCCGCTTCGAACCGAGCGCCGGGGACGCACCGCCCCCTTCCCGTGACGCTCCGGGGCGGCCGGAAGGCCCGCGCGTTCCCCCCGCAACCACCGGAGCCGGCGGGGCCTCACCGGCCGGGCCGAGCCTGGCCTTGTCGGGGCCGGGTCGGGCCTTGCAGGGGCCAGGCCGCTGCCGGGGAGGCTGCGGAGGCGCAGGGCCGGGCCGGGGACCGGGAGCCGGCGGCGGAGGGGCCGCTCGTCAGCCGCGGGGTTCGGGAAGGCCGAGCCCCGGCAGCGCGGCGGCTCCCCCCAGCCTCCCCCGGCCCGCTCAGGTCGCCCATAGAGCAGCCCCTGCAGCACCAAAGCCGGCAGAAAACTGTGGGCTATACGGGGGGGGGAATAAAAAATAATTTAAAAAAAATGGTTTTATTTAGGGTGGGAACAAACAGGTATTAATAAAACATGGCAATATAGAGGAGGTTTGTGTAATACGCAGTCGTTAACGTAATAAATGCAAACAGGGCAATTCTTAACTGTTAACACTGGACTTTATATGTTAATACTTTACAAACAACTCATAAAAAGGACTAAAAAACTGCAAACCATCTCTGGACTACCAGTAGGAGCTCATGGGATACCGATTCCAACTGGGACATCTTGTGGGGGGTGAGAGGTGTGTATTTTTTTCTTTTTTTTTTTTTTTTGGTTCAATAAGGTAAGGCCACATTTTTGCCCACGTTTTGTTGATGTCCCAAGTTGGAAGGTGTATCCAAACCGGCAAGAGAACCTGCCAACTGGGAATGTCCGTGCTTCCCGGGAGCTGCTGTGACAGTCCTGCCCTGCTCAGTGGCCACATCAGCCCAGGCTGGGTGGGCGGAGGGAGAAGTACATGGTCCCATCTCCCATGAGATTTGGGAAAGAGGAAGAAAAAGACAAACAGACCGAAGTTCAGCTCCAAAGTCTTGGGCTCAAAAGATTTGGAAGCGCCTTGTCAGACACTGGGTAAAATTACTACGTTCGTGAGAAACGGAGAAAGGTAACAAAAAGAGTTTCTAAGACTACGACAGTGTCTAACAAGTCAGTTTTGAGTCAGAACCGACCTGGAAGTTTTTATTTTCATCTTTGCTTTAGTAGAAAGGTTATTTTACGAGCCTGATTCTCCCAGCTGTTATTCTACCACCTATTCACAGTCCCAAATTTACCCAGAAGCTGGTGCCTATTCCTCTGGCTCTCAGCACTCTTCCTAAACCACCAGCGCTCGGCTCTTAGGACTAACTCTGGGCTTCCAGAGTTAGCTTCCTAATGGTTTTTGTGGCACTGGGATGAAGCACCCAGCCCCAACACTAGAGATACCGCATCCCCAGTCAGTCTCTTCCCACCGTGGTTCTCATCACCCACCTTCTTCAGGTGCCCCCCAAATGCTGCTTTTGTTTCCCACTCCGGCACTACGGCAGAAGCGAGCGGGAAGCGAGCATTCTCCTACCCACCGTACATTTATAAGGTCTCTTGGTGGTGGCCACGTGGATTTTCAAATGGACTTTAAGCGTCGAGCTTTTCCGGAAGCTTTTTCCGCACTCGCCGCACTCGTAGGGCTTGGCTCCTGCATGGATCCTCAGGTGGGCACCCAGGGCTGAGCTGTGCCGGAACGTTTTCCCGCACTCCTCACACTTGTAGGGTCTCTCCCCGCGGTGGATCCTCAGGTGCACGTTGAGAGCCGAGCTCCGTCGGAAGCTGTCCCCGCACTCCACGCAGATGTAGGGCCTCTCCTCGGCGTGCGTGGTCTGGTGCTTGGCCAGAGTGGAGCGGTCGCTGCACCTCCGGCCGCACTCGGCACACTGGTAGGGGCTGGGCAGGAGGCCACCATGGTACATGGGCACGGCCTTCCCACCGTGGATCCGGCGATGCGTGGTGAGCGCCGAGCTCTGGCTAAAGCCCTTCCCGCACACGGGGCACTTGTAGGGCTTCTCGCCCGTGTGGGTTCGCATGTGGGTCACCAGCGAGGAGCTCTGCCGGAAGGTCTTCCCACACTCGGTGCACTCGTAGGGTTTCTCTCCCGTGTGGATCCTCTGATGCCGAATGATGGCCGAGCTGTCCCGGAAATGCTTCCCGCACTCCTGGCACTTGTGGGGTTTCTCTCCCGTGTGGACTCTCCGGTGTATGATCAGGGAGGAGCGGTCGCTGAAGCTTTTCTCGCAGCGGGGGCAACTGAAGGGTTTCTCACCCTTGTGGCTTCGCTGGTGGACGATGAGATGCGAGTTCTGGCTGAAGCTCTTCCCGCATTCGTTGCACTGGTAGTGTCTCTCCCCCGTGTGCGTCCGCTGGTGCCTGATCACGTTGGACCTCTGGCTGAAGGTCTTCTCGCACTCGTTGCACTGGTAGGGCTTCTCGCCGGTGTGGATCCGCTGGTGTTTGATCAGGTCCGAGTTGCGGGTGAAACTCTTCCCGCATTCGGAGCAGCTGAAGGGTTTCTCTGCCAGGTGGATCCTCTGGTGCTGGCTCAGGTACGAGCTCCGGCTGAAGCTCTTCCCACACTCGGGACACGCGTAGGTTTTCTCTCCCACCTGCTGAATCCAAATGGTGCCGGTCCTACACACGGGTGGGTCTGGCTTGTCTCCAGCAAGGATAACCTTGCTGATGTGGGCTCTACCACTGTCCTCACACCCCCAGGGAGTTACCATTCCCAGTCTCTTTCCAAGAGACGTCGCCACATCACTTTCTGTCTCCACCTCCTGCTTGCAGTCCTGTCTTTGATTGGTGTCCTGGAGGGTATCTCCTGTGAGCTTTCTTGGGAGGAACAGATGCAGGTCAGCTCTCACAGGACTTTCCTGATGAAGCTTGCCCTTCATGGGTGTGTCACCCATGGTCTTGTCACCTGCTGGAGTGAACAGAGGAACTAGTAATGAATAACATTTCCGGCTTCTCTGAGGGAGAAGTCCAAAAAGGGCAACCACAGAGACCTGCTGCATGTCAGCTGCCATTAGCTAACAGCCCAGGAGCCAGCCCCTCGGTATCTTCTCTGGGCAGAGTGAGGGCATGGAGACCAAGGAGCGTGGGAAGCAAGTGTAACCCGAGGATGGGTGGCTACTGTGGCAGAGATTGCAAAGATGGTCCACTATCGTAAAGTCACAGTCCTAAAGGACAAATCCTGTCACCTGCTTGTCCTCAAAGTTCCCATGTTTAGCAAGGTTAGAGGAACACCATCACTGCTTTCCTCAACAACCCCCACTGTAGCTGCTTCTCTTCCCGTTGCCTATGAACCACTGCCCTTCTTCCAGCACTGCCATGCTTAGTCAAGGAAGCAGCCAACACCACAGGAACATCCACCCTTCCAGGTAGACTATTTTCTTTCCTCTTTGCAGTCATAGCCCTTCTCCTTAAAAAGAAAGCCTTACACATTCTGCAGCAAATGGTATCTAGATTTTGTCTACAGAACAGATAGGCAAGTAAGTGGAACAATGAACCGTTTTATTAACCAAGCATGGAAATGAATGTTTAGACTGAAACATTTAGAAGCTCCTGCTTTTTTATTAGTTATACATATATGGAGAACACACCTTGGAAATGGATGCTGGAGCGTTAGGTAAGCCAATTAGCTGAATGGCAGATGCTCACAGAATTAACAGCATCCTCTTATATGTGGGAGGTCAGAATATGAGACGAATTGAGCAGGATAAACCCCTCAGGTTTTGTTTCGGGTGATCTGCTCATTTTGGAAGACACCACCACACTGGTTATGCTGTTTCTCAACGTTTTGTTCACACCACTCAGGGCTGAGAAACATTTGCAATACAAATAAAGGTATAGCACTAGCCCAAGGCATGCACCCCAAGACAGCAAAATGACCAATAAAACATTAGAAATACTGTCAGCATGGAAGGAAGAAAAAGCCACACTTGGGTTAATTGTGCCTTCTAACATTCTGAGTAAACTCTTTGCTGAAAAACACACAAGATTTTATTTCATTTTGTATCAGCTCTTTTTGAAAAGGTGTTAGATTCCCCAGGAGTGTGTTTCATCTGCCTATGAATCTTTCTGAAAGCAGAAGTTATATAGTATGGGAGCAGAAGAGGCAGGATGAGTGCAGTAACTGCAGCAGAGCACACGCCAAATTTGCAGCATTCAGCTCTTTTCTTCCCTTCCCAGACATTCCCTATTCAATTTCTCACCTTGTGAGCAGTCTCTCTACTGTCTCGGTGTTTAGCTGCTTCTGGCCACAAAGCTGCTTTTCTTCACTCCATCCAGAAGGTTAAAGCCAAGTCAGGGACAGCAGATCCTGATCAGAGGAAAGAAAACAGATGTAATAAATACCCAGCATAGTAGCGGTGCTGTAGAGTGAGATTACAGGAGAGTAAGTATTTAGGAGATGAAAGCAACCTAGACCAGAGGAAAATGACACCCAGAAACATGAGTCAGGGTCACTGTCTGCTCTGCCACACACATCATGACACCACCGTTCAGGTCCAATAACCAGAGCCAGCTCACATAGAGAAGACGGGGTCAACTACACGTGGTGCAGAGAGCTGCCTGCCAACTTGCTGCCTTCTGACAAGTGTCTGGATGTCCCTCCTGCTGCACTCCCAGACCAAAAATGCCTCCTACTGAGTTTTGTATAAGAAAAATACAGATTCCTCCTCCATTTTGTCTCTGTCACCTTTCTTCCTAGTGAACTAAACAAGCACATAATGTAGTTAATGCAGTTCTGTTCTGCAGGCAGAGGAAAAATGCTGCCTTCGCAACTGGGCTGCTTTCAGGGTTGGTCAGGTGTCCCATTTATTTACTTTACCAAAGGAGTATTTCGCTTGGTTGCCCTCAGTGGCTCATCCAGGCACGCACAGCTCTGGGTGAAAGAAGAGATTTTGGTCTCCTCACATATTATCGGCAGGAGCAGTCCGGAGGCAGAATTTCCTGCCCTGTGCTCCAGAAAAATGGCAATTTGGCTGCCTGGTTCCAGAAGGGGTTTACAAGGCCGGCAGCGAGCAGAAAAAAAAACAGTCACACACACAGAGATGGTTTACGTCAGCCAACGTGCAATCCCATGCGCTTCTCAAGGATCTCTTTTCAGAGCTAAAGAAGTACACCATGCGGGAGTGGGATTTGTGGGATAGGAAATTAGGTCACCCATTTAGCTTTAGCACTACATTTGTGCAGTGGTATTTGTACAGAGGCATTTTAAGATGCTGAGGGTTCAGTGACGTCCTAGAAATGTACCGGTTACAGAAAGAAAATGCTTAAAAACTCTACATGTGCATGCCAGCCCTGCAATGGCGTGGCACCATTTTGATCACGTGGATTCCCACCGTGCCACTAGGAACAAGTGTAGAATTACTCCTGACTGGGTGTTGGTCAGAAAAATAAATGTAAACTAGCATCTTGTCCTTTCAAAACAAGAAACAAACTGAAGTGGCTGCTCGGTGGAGTACCAGAGGAGAGCATGGCGATAGACATCATTGCCAGGCCCTCCCGAGGGCAGAGGGGAGACCTCCCCACCTGCATAAGGCCACTGCCATAAAAGAAGGCCCCTGATAAAATGGAGAGCTGATATTTCGTTGGTTCTGCCTCAGCCTGGAGTGATGTCCTCCCTGCTCCCCCCCTGGCCTCCTCCACAGCGGATTTGGTGAGCATCTCCCCTTGGGGAGAGGGTGTTCCTGCTCCTCCTGGCCACAGGCAGCGGCTGCTGGCTCTGATCCCGGGTATGAGGCAGGGAAGCCAAGGTCTCCCTCCCCATACAACATCCCCCCAGCCACTTACGAGGCCTCTGCGGGCAAGCCTGACCCTGCTCAACCATCCCTCTGATCTCAGGAGGAGAGAACCATCCTTCTGGATGAGCACATGGTCAAAACGCACCCTAAAAATGGTGGGTGAGCACCTACAGAAGGCAGGCAGTGGGTGCAGGAGATGGTTGATGCCGTGCGGAGCCAGGCAGGTTGTGGGATACGGCAGAAAAGCACATTGTGCAGTGTCTAGTAAAGATCTGTTCCTAAACAAGATAGGAAACCTGAAATGCCAGTGAGCAACTGACAGGAAGAAGGCGCCGGTCTCCAGAGCAGCCATGTCTGGACAAAGCCAAAGACCCTCAGGACCTGCCTCAAGCAGGGTCCTGGTTGATGAGATACCCCAGTCCTTATGAGGCCAAACGAGGAACGAGAGAGGAGACCTGTAGTGTGGGGAGGCAATGGGCCACACCAAGCTCCTGTGATGGCAGACAGATGGAGGCTGCAGAGGGGCTGCCCCATGAAGGACATGGCCGGCCAGGAGTGGGTGAGCCACCACCAAGACCACAAGCCTCAGGGAGGCAGGAGAGGCACGGAGAACAGCAAGCTGCCATGGATGTCAACCTGGGGAAACCAAACAACCTCCATGGGGGACCTTATCTGGGTTTGGACCCACTGGGGCAGTGAGGAGGAGGGCAGACCCCGCTGGCACAGGAGGTGGGCCATGTCCAACCTCAGCCTCAGGCAGGAGGCCACCACTGCCCTCCCCAGCGCTGACCCAGTGGCGGGCAGCAGGCAGGCCCAGCAGTGGGGCAGGAGGGGAAGCGGAGAGCTGCGGGGGAAGCGGAAGAAGGAATGGTGAGAACAAGAGGCGTTTGTGACACCACCAGCCATGCCACCTCCCCTGGGCAGACCAGTGGGGCAGGAGGTGGACACAGGCAGGTGGGCAAAGCAGCAGAGGTGACATCTCCGGCAAGCACAAGTTGCTACAGGCACTGCTCGCGGTGTGATGTCAGCCACACGGGCTTGTCTGGTTTTGGCCGGTGAGTAGGAAATGTCCCCCCTTCAAGCCGGATTGTGAGGAAGGGCGGCCAACCCGGCTGCTCTTTACCCCTCCCCATCGCTCCTCAGCTCTGGCAATCTGGAGGCGAGAGGAAGGGGCAGGAGCACCCTCAAACGCCTCAGGTGTAAAGACCTCAGGTGCTTAAATTTTTGCTGGTCTTCACCCATTGGAGCTGGTATTTTAGTCATCACGGAGGGCCAGAGAGTAGCCAAGGAGCCAGGGAGGAGGACTTGGAGCTGGATGCAGTAGGCAGAGGCTGGAGCAGAAGTGGAGACTGGGAGACGTGATGATGGGGACAGCTGGGCACATAAACCAGACATGAGTGCAAAGGCAGAGATCTGGATTTAACCCACAAGGCCAGAAGGGAAGAGCTAGTCAGGCGAAGTGACAGGAGAGGAAGGAGAAAGAGGTCTGAGAGAAGACCTTGGTTTAAGACAAAAAGAAAGTGATACAGCTGGAAAAAATCACAGAATCTTCAAGGTTGAAAGGGACCTTTGAGATCATCGAGTCCAACCACAATGGACAGAAGGGCCAGGCTGCTCTGGCCACGTCCTGGTGGGAGACCATGGAGGGGTCCCATATTCCCCAGTCTCCTCATTCCCCTGCTTTCTCAAAACCCTCCCAGTCACCTGGCAAAGTGTGGTTGTCTCCTCCCTACTGCCCCACCAAATACTTGATAACCCCTGCAGGGAGAACATTACATGGTTTTGTTTGATCCTGCTGCATCTACAGATATATAGGTGTTAATAAGATGGCAGAGATGTTACTAAGATACAGGCCACAAGGAAGTTTTTGGTTTTACCAAAAGGAAAGAAAAGAAAAACAACACATTGTAAGTTAAGAGACCATCACAGAGATTGCAAAGTCAAACTTGGAGCATGCCTGAAACAGTGATTTTGCAACCTTAGATCTGTTCCCCTGTGCACAGACATAGTACTCCAGCTCTTTAGTTACCTGGCTTCACTGTTTTCACATGGATTTGGGTTCTTTAGTCCCTGCTTGGACATCGCCTTTCTAATGAGCAGCTATTCAGTACGTCACCCTTATTGTTCAGTGTTTGATTTATTTACTGATCTCATTTGAACTCTGCTATAGACAGAATGACTCATTTCCTCATGAACTTTTTACATACTCTATGTTTTAGAGCTTCACAGCTATTAATTGGTTTTTAGTGATCTTGCAAATGGCAAAATGAGGGCAGAGAGGGATTAAAGTCAAAAACATCCACTACTTTTAGAATGTCAGTTTGAGACATCTCAGCCCTGGCTTCTCAGAGTACATATGCTAATGTAGCACCTACTTGCCATTCAAAGTACACCACATACAGACTCCAAAACTGCAATAGAGCTCAGCCTTCCTATAAATGGCAACCCACAAGGTAAGGAAAATGCCATTAATAACACGCTAAGAAACCTGGTACTTGCCTCGCATCACACAGGAGCCTCTGTGGTGCAGCCAGGAATAAAACCTACTTTTTGGAAGAGTATCCACAAAACTGCCCTTGCCCTTCCAGCATCTGCCTGACTTACTCTTCCATACACCTTCCAAGGTGTGGGAAATGAGGCAGATGTCCTGAATATAGTAAGTGCCTAACCTCAGCAACTGAGTCCCTGCCAGAGCAGGCCCAGTATCTATACTGAAGGAGCTGCAAGTCTGAGGGAAGAAAGAGTAGGTTGCTGTGTACTTGAAGAATGTATAAAAAGCATATACAAGAGGAGGTGAAATTAAGATTGCACACGAAGCTTTTATTTGGGCACATTCAACCTCCAAATGTTTGATTTCACAAGCTTTCACAATGTTCTTTACAGGGAAGAACTGGCTGTAAGTTTTGCATAAGTGTTCAATGAATGCTTGGACCATTGCAAGGGCACACACACGTCCACTGGGGCATGCTCTATTAACTCAAGGGGTCTGGACCTACTTACCCAGAGGAAGAGAATTTGCAGAGGCTAAAATCTTGAAAGGAACCAATCTCCTTATTCCAGCCCTGACAGTAGAGCTACATTCCCAGTTTCAGCCATAACTTCCAAGACATTTCTCTCAGTTCAGGATTTGAATCTCCAGAGCTTTGGTCAAGGTCCTTCAGCCATGTACTGCCCCCCAAAATCCTGCACCCCTTTCAGCATGGGGAGAAGAGGTTTTCCCTGGGTCTAGGCTCCCATCTTGAGCCTGTTACTGCATTTCCCACATGCTGGATCCTGCACTCAGAGAAGGCAAAAGAGATCTGGGTTCAGCCCCCCAGCTCCTCTGAGTGTACCATGGTTAGTATTTCCTTCTCCCCCTGACTCCCTGCATTTTATTTTTCACCAGTGCTCTTGGGTTGGGGCTGCACGGCCGGGAAGGCGCAGCAGCCAGGAACACCGCTCTCCAACCAGGAGTACCGCCAGTTCTTCAGGTACCTCCGGGTCGCCCAACGTGCCAGCATTGCCTGCCTCCTTCGTGAACTGTATGGCTGCCAGTACACCCTGGTCCAGGGACTGGATGAGTACGAAAACCATGGAGCCATCCCTA